AGCATTTTGCATGCTTTAACTTCATTCGTCTCAGAGACTGGTTACCGGAGCACAAACAAAAGTAGCCCACAAACCAGTTATACTATATACTTTAGACACTTCTATCTGGCAGCAGATAAGACCATCTGCTAAGTCTGTAGCTGCCAGCAGACTGCCAGTACACTACCACTGCTGAACCAGTGGCACTCCACTGGGGGCAAGCAAGGCAGGCAGTGCTTGCCCGCTGAACTCTAAAAGCAGACAACTATTAAAACTCAAGTGAATGTGATCTCTCTCCTTTCATCTCAAACAGTGTTCTGTCATTAAGGAGATTGATGGTAGACTACCAGGCTAGACAGGCTGCTGCTGGCCCTGGTTTCACTGCTCTGAGATCAGTTACCATCTGGACATTTGTAGAAACAGAGCTAGCACAAGCAACTAGATGAACTTCAGTGATTTAACATTGTATGATTTTATATTCATCATAGGTGACAATCCTGTATTTTTGGAGAAAATTAAAACTGCCTTTTGTGAGAAATGTAAATAATTTCCAATGTGTGTAAGTTGAAATTATTGTTTTATTTGTTCCCCGATTGCAAAGACTTGGAAAACCAGTTAATAAAAATAAACACTGACTAACTTGTCCTGGACCTCCAGATTATTTTGCATTACGTTAGTTTTGAGTTAGTTAGTCATGAGTTTTTTTCCCCCAGAAGAAATCTGCAGTTTCTTTTCTTTCTCAGTCAACATGTGCGTACTACTACTCAGGCTTATAAAATAAATTCAGCATATTGTTTTAAATTCCCAAAGCTAAGCTTGAAAAGTTTTTTGTTACTGTCTCTTTTTCCTGATTAAAGGCTGAATGATCTGTCCAGCCAACTCTGTTGTGCAGAGTCATGATGAGCACTTCCTGTGTTGTTTATTTACCTTGCACTGAGCTTCCAAGAGTTCCACAGATCCTCTGGTGTTCATGCTTGTCCTGCCAGAGAGCTGAAGTACTGGCAGTGACGCATGTGTACAGTTTCTCGCTCACGTACACATAATCAGGAGTGTGCTAATCTTTCAGCAAGGGGCGAGATCTTAAAGCTTTTACGCTGCCTTCATACCAATATTTCTTTGCTTTTCGTCATGTTCTGGGCTTTTTGTTTACACCAAACATTAAACTTTATAGTTTCTTATGGAGTGTTTTTTGCGACTTTAGTATCATTGACCTTTTGAGTATGAATTTCTCTTTAATAGTCAGAGATAAACTTCCTTCCCTCTTATCAGTAGCTCATCCTTAGAATGGGAAGTTACTTCTCATTTCATTAGTATGATTACACTTTTTCAGTATCATCTCCTTCCCCACCCACAACCGCCCGCCCTGCTGCTTCTACCCATGCAGATTCTTGGAAACCTTTTTGCTCCATGTACTTTGACTTTTGACAGCTGGCTTACTCAAGAAAATGCCTGTGTGTGTGTGTGCATGTGTGTGTTTCTGAGTAAGCAGGAGGTGACATTGGATATGTTCCTTGAAGTGCTTCTCCTACAATTCCTTGTAAATTTCAATCTGATTGTGTGGAAGGTCGCTGCTAAACGTGTCACATAGTATACAAGAGAGGAAAAATGTTTTGTCTTCCTGCCTTTCCGAAACTCCAGGACTGTTTACATCTCAAGATGTGATTGTGGATCAAACAATTAAAAAAATCAAGCCAACAGCAAAGTGCTAGAATCTACAGTTCCTCCCATGGCCTGCTGATACTGGAATCCAAAAGCAAGTAAGATCCCACCATGGTGTTTCAATTGGGTTGAGGTCTGGACTTTGACTAGGCCATTGTGTTCATTGGTGTGTTTGAGGTCATTGTCCTGTTGCATGAACCAGTTTGGCCAAGGTTTGGATGGCAGACAGATGGCCATTCCAGTTTTAATTAAGCCAAAACCAAAGTGCCTGAATCTGCAGTTCCTCTCATGGCCAGTCGATACTGGATCCAAAAGCGAGTAAATCCTCATAGACTCCCTTGTTAACAGGAATTTATGCTACCAAGTTAGTTTTCAGAGATGTTTAGCTCCAATAGAAATAGGATGCACTTTCTTTTTAACATGACTGTATGCAGAGTCAATAATAATGAGTTTGCCCTCCAAAAAGCCAAGTGTGTGTAGCCTGATGGCAGGGCTATTATGTGTAGACAGAGTACAGGTGTCTGTAAATTTAGAACAGAAAAGGAAGTGACAGCAGAATTCACCACAAAGAGGAAGACGAAAAACACCCATCAAAGATCAAAAATGCAACATGAGAGGTGGTTTTCATTATTTTTAACACCGAGTTTCACTTCACTCTAAAGAAGTTATTTGTGTAATATAATTCCTGTCTTCTCCACGTGCAGAGGCTGAACACACCAACCGCAGCCTGAACAAGGGTCACCAACAGCCTGCTGATGATTGTACAAAGCAGCTATGGACTGTAAAACCAGTGCTGGTATCTTTAAACTATCCAACTAGATGACAATAAATACCATTTAGAGACTGGTACTACTATGGTTTTGCCCTCTATGGACAGCTTCCCCCCTTTGTGCCTTTGTTTCACTATACATAACTGAACCTCTATCACCAATATACACATAACATTACAGTCATGGTCATTATTTCATTGTTTCGTTGTTGTTAATATTGTTGTTAACATGTGAATAATTCAAAGGCCATTTAAAACATGTAAAACGTAAGTACTTCCACATTTGGAGTAATATTTTTTTTGTTTTGTATCAGATGACATGCTGACCCAAATTGCAAAAAAGCAGACATGCTGTTCTGCTCAAACCTGCCTATGTGATATGTGATCATATCTCAGGATTCAGCTGTCGACAGCCGCTTAGTCACTGGCAGCTGAGATCCAAGTGCTCTTTACATGACTTGCAAAGAAGAAACACTACCTGGGTGTGTTGGTCGTTGTGATTTCCTTTGTAAACTGTCGATATTTCCACAGTTCCTGTTTTCACGATCCAATGTCTGTAGACTTTTTCTACAGCTAAACTTAGTGATTATTGGTTGTGACACAGTTTTGGCCCACTCTTCTATCCACAGCTTTTTAAGGTCACGAGTTTTTAGTCAGGTTGAGGTCTGGACTTTGACTGAACCATTGCTCCATCTTGATTTTCTTTTTCAGCCATTCTGTTGCAGATTTTCTGCTGTGTTTGAGGTGCTCACACTCAGCAATAATCAATTGTAATCAATAGCTGATTATCAGCATCTGGCTGCTACTTATCCCTTTAAATCCCACGTAAGCAGTAAGTATTTTTCACAGGACTGCACTCAGTACTGTGGAAGCATTGTTTTTTCATATGACTTTATGTATTCAGTTTTACTAACATGACATTACATATTGGGACTATTCTATTGACCAATGTGATCGTGCATGTATAAGCATGGAAAAACCCAAGGCATAAACACTTGTCTCTTTGGGGACTGGGAAAATACAGCAGAGAGAAGCATACTGCACCAGAGATGTACTGTTGAGATCAGTGAGGGACAGAGACACACATACACATACACAGGTACATGTAGATAGAAATTCCTTGATTTACCAGCGAGATTATTACTACATCCAGTGATAACAAATCACAATGCAGTACAGCCTGACTCAACACGTGTTGAGGCATTCATCAGACTTTTACTTACTCCTATCGATAAAGAGAAACCTATACAAACAATTTGTTGTAACAGGCTGGTTAAACCTGTTCATCAAGCCCCAAGTGAAGCAGCAAAGAAAACAATAAGTGGTTTTGTTTCACAAGCCACCTGTTTCATTCTTTTCAAGCCGGTTGTGTCACTTCCTGGTAAGAGGAATTTGACTCTGGTGAATAAACGGTGCAAAGAAACCCTGTAAGTGCACAATATCAGAGTTAATGTCAAGACTGAGTATGTCTTTGTTTGGATACGACGGAGCCCTGAGATAAAAAAAAAACACAAAAAAAACGACCTCCAGTGAAGATGACTACCGGTACAATTATATTGTTCTCCAGTTCAGTTGTATTTATTTAACAGCAATTCATCAGAACAGTAATCTCACAGCGAGCTTATATTGTAATGTAAAACTCTTTAATTCCAGTAGCGACAGTGGTGAGGAAGAACTAGTTTTTCAACTGGAAAGACCTCTGACAGCAGCAGTCAGAGGTCGCACGTCATAAATGCTGCAGATGGTCACACAGTTGCTGTGAACATGTTGCAAAAATCTTATTAGACAAAGTCACTTGTGCAGCAGGCAGCAGCTGATGACGGATGTGTTTGTAGCAGCTGGACATCCAGTTCCTTTCAGGCTGAGCCCTCACGAGCAGCTCCCCGACAGTCAAAATGCCAAATGTCCAACCATATGCTACACGTGTAAATGTGAGTGACCCCAGATGGTGTAAATCTGCACATGAAGCGAGCCGCAAATCCACGCATTTCCCCTTTTTCTGTTTTCTTTCTGTCTGGTTTGACTGGACGGGTGGAGGCGGGCAGCAGGCTCTGGCTTCTCTTTTTCAGTTTCGTCGCTTGACTCCCACATAGCCCTTCCTGTCAAACATCAGAGCCCTATCCCGTCTTATGTTTATGAATAATCGACCAGCAGGAGGTTGATCAGGGCCCGATGCAGTCATCGTTGACATCATCGCTGTGCATCACACCATTACGATGGGGTGCTAATGCATCATCATCAGTTAGTGGAAGAGGGTGAAGCATCTTAGTGTCAATGATTCTGTGATTAAGACGTTTGTTTTTCACTTCTAGTTTAGTATATGAATATTGAAATGCTAGAAAGTGAGTGTGCAGCCACTAAATGTTGCTTAATTCCAAGGCAATGCGACAGATCTAGAGACGTTCATTCTCCATCCTGATGGCCTGAAGGTGTTTTCTGAATCTCTGAGAGTTTAACCTCAAAGTTTAAGCTGTAATCTTGAATCAAAGAGATCTAAATAAAAAAATTAGTCATCTACAGAAATGTAAACAGTATAGAGGGGGTTAAAAAACACATCCTGCGGTTTAACAAGAAGTCAGACCACAAAAGAAAATGTTTAGGAAGTGAACTTTATTTAAATAAATAGCCACATAAATAAACAACTTTCTTCAACTAACATTTCTTCTCCTTCCTTCCTCCCTCCTTCTTTTCCTCTTTATAACCTCACACACACACACACACACACACACACACATCCACACGCATGCATCCATACACACAAAGACGTGCTCATGCTCACACAGTCAAGTAACAAGTCAGGAAAAAAAAAAAAAACATGAAATACTTCTTATCCAAAATTTATCACAAGGGTAATTTTACAGGTTTGCATCGAAAGTCTTGTGTTTCAAAAGATTTGTGATTTTTTTTCCCATCATGAGAAAAAAACGAAAGAAAAAAAATCAGCAATAAGAAATATGAGTAAAGTGCAAATCTTGCTTGTTTAGATAGCAAGTTCAAAGGTCAAAGAAAATATCAAAGGGGACGTCTGAGGAAATGTCCTGTAATGGAGCCATCGATCGTTTTTTCTTCAATGTGGGGATCAGAGAGGAGGGGCTGGGGGTGGGGCAATCTGACTGCAGTTTGTTCAGGCAAAGGCACAGGTGTTGAAGTGAGTGCAATAAACCGAAGGGGGGGGAGGGGGGGGGGGTCAATATAATTTCAAAAAAGAGCCGGGCTCGAAAAGACACAGCTCTCACCTACAAGATGTTTCACAGACATGAGACAGCTAACTACACTCACATTAATACACATCTGTTACAGCTTTCAAACACCTTAACTCGACTGCCTGCACATGCAATTCAGTGCAGGACATCTGTGTCTATTTCAAGCTACTACTGAGCAACTGAAGAAAGTTCCACTTCCTGCACATTATGGTATTGCTATGTTCTGATTGTTTTCTTCTTCTTCTTCTTTTTTCTTTCTTTCTTTCTTTCTTTTTGTTTTTTTTAGAAAAGTACAAAACAAACACTACCATGGTCCTCATAGTAACAGCTAGAGATACCCACAATACACGTAGCATTAGGATTTGGTGGCAGCGGGAGTTTTTCTTTTCTTTTCTTTTGTCTCACAGCAAAAGGCTAAGGAGATCGTGTGAAATTGGTTCGCTACACCACCACGCTACATCTTGGAGACAGCATTCAAAGAGGAAAGTCAGTAGTGTGTCTTTTGACAGATCCTCTATTTCTTGTGCTGTTGAGTCTTTGGTAAAACCCAAATTCTTCCTTTTGGATCTACAAGCATGCTGTGTGAATAAAAAAAGCAAAAAAACAAAAAAAACAAAACAAAACAGCATTTTGAAATGCCTCGAGCCTCTTCTCTAAGTCACTACAGTATCATAAGAAGTACCTCTTCTAGTCAGCTAGCTAGCACGGCAAGATGAAACACACACACACAAAAAAAAGAAAGACGAACACAAAACCTCAGGCAAGTACACGTGGAGTTTTTGACCATCCTATGTTAAGCCTCATTTCCATTGGTTTCTTTCATGTAAAATATTGCACTGTTCCCACAGTCTTTGTTCCGTACGAAAAACCCTCTTTCTCTGATATTCAACTTGCTCATTAGCGTTTAAAGGTTTTTCTTAACCTTTCCAAATTGTTGCCTGAGGAGGTAGTAATAGCATCTAAAAAGAAAGGTGCTTATCAGACAAAGGAGAGGGAGGGGTATGGATCCACACATGTAGGGTGCTACCAGGCTGACTGATGTACCTGCTGTGCTTTAACTCAACCAGCGAAACACCGTCTTCGCTCAGTTTTGGCTGATGAGGGTGTAGTAGTCTTTTTGCAGCTTGAGGTAAAAGCAGCGTTTTGCGTCACTAAAATTAACAATCTTGCACAGAAAAAACAAACGGGGAAAAAAAAAATCACAGTTTCAGTAAAAATAAAAATCGTCTCCTTCGGTGTGAGTAAGCTTAGGTTACTATACTGCGTGTTCACTGCACTGCTACAGAGAAATGTCTCTTCAGGAAGGTGAACAAAGTGGGGAGACTGAAAATAATATGAATTTTGGTCTTCTGTCCAGGCAAGTGAAAAACACTGAGAGCGCTTACACAAGTGGCAAAAAAAAAAAAAAAACAAACAGGAAAAAATGGAAGAGCGAACTTTCCTGTTAAAAAAAAGATCAAAAAGTAAATCTAGACAGCATAAAAATATGAGAGTGACTCAGCAACGTCAGCTATTCAAGTGAGTCCATCGGAGCCGAGGAGAGTCTGTCAGTCTGTTATTGCTTCTCTGGCTGTTACGAATCGAACACTTCATCCAGAGTTTGGTTTATTGCTTAGTCTTTAGCTTATACGATTAGAAAAAACACATACACACAGCGAACACGTGTGCAGACACATTCTCACGTGTACCCCATAAAGACAAATTCGTCACTTGCGTCTGCTTTTTTTGTTGTTCTTCACTTCTGCTCTCTTTTCTTCTGCGCTCAGCATCAAGTCTTTTTTGGCTCTTCCACCAAGAGAACATTCGCCGGTCTCGCTTGGCCGATGATTTACTTCACCATCACACAGCTGCTGAGCTGCTGCTGCTGCTGCTGCTGTCCAGACATACCCAGCTCCTGCATGTCGAGGTCTGTGCCAGAGACCGAGCCCATCCTCCACATGACTGATTTGGACAGGATGGGGAAATTGCCTTGTGCTGCAGACTGTTGACGGAGGCCAGTGTGGTGGTTAGGGTGGGGTTGCTGACTGATGTGTAGACGTGCCTCGAGAAGGTAGGCAGCAGAGGCCACGGGGGACAGAGAAGAGGAGTAGCAGGGTGAGGATGAGCAGCCTGTGGCGGAGGTCTCGAGGGTCTGTTGCCAGGGACCCTGCTGCAGACCCACTGAAGCCTGCTGAGCAGGCAGGACGGGTTGAGCAGGGTTGTCAAACATGGAGGAGGAAGCAAACACGGTAGTAGGCGGAGGAGATGGTGACTGTTGGTGTGCCAAGAAGAGCAGGGGCTTCTGTTGAGGTCCTGTCTGAGGGGCTTGGATCTGAGGCTGTGGTTGGTGCTTAATCTGCAGCATTCTGGGAAATGAGATGAGATTTGTTATCAACAGCTCGACTTGGGGTTCAATTGTTTGTAGTTTATGAAATTAACAATCCCATAATGCTTTGTGCTCCTGCAATAATGTGACTCACCTTTGCTGGTGCAGCACCTCCTCCAGCATGCTGCGGTGCTCAGAGAGAGCTGGACCCAGTGACCCCCGGCTACCGCGGTTACAGGAGGGTGATGGGGCAGCCTGCCTCGTCAGACCCTTGATCTTATTCAATCCCAGAAGTCCTTTAGTGCGCGTGTTTTTCCTCAGCTGCTGGCGGAAAGCTTTGAGGCCTGCGTGAAGGCATGGGAAACTGTTATGCAATGCAGCGTTGATCCTACTACATGGTACGTGTGAGAAAACCTGAATACCAGCTTAGGCAGGTGGCATACAGGAAATGATTTCACGATCATGCGTGTGTACCTTGTGTGAGGGAGGTGTCAGAGGCTCTGCGACCCTCCTGGAAGCTGGCAGGGGGCAGGCTGCCCTGGGCCTGGGGCAGGAGGTGGGAAGAGAGAGCCAGGGGAGCTCCAGCAGACAGCAGAGCTCCTCCCTCAGCCCCCGAGGCCCGAAGTGTTGCCACCCCACCTACAGCAGCTTGCAAAGTGGGGGCAGGACTGGAAGAAGACTTCAGGCAGCTGTCAGAGGAGGCACCGTCTGAGGGGCTGACCACGATACCTAAAGAAACAGGAGAGGTCAAGACTCTGCATCGCTATAAGAATGAAGAACATGCGTGCGCATGTATATTATACTAACATGGAGGGTTGCACTGGTGGAAACGGGCGGAGACCTCAGCCAGAGTGTGTCTGCGAGAGGTGGTGGTTGGAGGGAGCAGGGGCCCAAGAGTTTGCGTCGCCTCCTCCTCCTCCAGGTCTCTGGGTCGCACCTCTTCGCTGATGCTTGTCTCCAGCAGGCTGTTGGGTGAAATGGAGCGGTTCCAGAGCAATCTGTTCAGACTGGCCTCCACTGGAAACACTACACGCTGAAAAGGAAGGAGGTTGACTGTTAGCCACTGACTGCTAGCAGGGCAGGGTGCAGCTTTTGCATTTGGTCTATTAATATAGATGCAAGAGAGCGTGCTATTTAAGAAATTTACCTGAAACAATCCAGCTTGGTCACACTCTACCTCTGAGTACACAGGGGGGGTGTTTTTGGTTGGAAGTGAAAACGCTGTTGTTCTAAAACTCTCAGTGGACTCCATGATCACCTAGAAGGAAGCAGAAAGCACAGAGATTATTAAACTTCATGCAAATAAGAATGGAGATTGATAGTCAGCTACATGCAGCTATAGTGCTGACCTCTGGGCTTGTGGAGTCGGAGGTGCTCCTTGGTCTCTGGCTCCATGTTCCACACTGGCGGCTCAGCTGCTGTGCACGATGCTCCCGCACTCGCTCCAGCAGCAGGTAGTAGATGGCAGAGAAGTGGTTGTAGCTGCTGCTCTGCAGAGACTGAAGATAAGGTCAGAAGATTAGTCATTTTGCCATTTTGTTTACTTTCTGTGGCTTGTAATGACAGTTTATAACCAGTGCTCTCTCTTTATAGCTTTCTTTAGCACCTCTTTAAAACTTTTAAGGGAAAGACAAATATAGCTGCATATATCTGCATTTATATATTTGGAGATGACAGAGTGAGAAATCTATATTTAAATACAGAATAAGGTCTTTGAAGGAATACAATGTAGGTTCAACTTAAGAGAGAATGAAAACTTAGCTGCAGCCTACCCGCTGCCTGTAAATCCGTAAACTGAGTATTTTTACTGTGACTGCAATACTTTCATAAAACCACTAAACACATTTTGATTCTTGTTCAGTCACCTCGATAGTCCTCTGACGGTCGATGCCCAGTGTGTTCATGATGCCCAGCACGGGTTCGCTGTAGTCGCCCAGGTTGGAATTGTACTCCGTGAGGGGATGGCTGAGGATCTGGTGGGCAGCTGACGGATCCGCCATCATCCAGCGGTGTTGCTTGATCTGAGCAATGCTGATCCTTTTGGCTGGATCCACCACCAGCATTTTACGGATCAGATTCTCACAGTCTAAAGTACGCAAACAGTGAATGAGTCTCTGTATGTAGTTTACACCGTTTTAGTAATTTGCGGTAACTGTTGTTGGGATAATTTATACCTTGTGACATAAAGAAAGGGATTCTGAATCGTCCCTCGGTGACTCTCTGCCGGAGCGCGGGAAGGCTGGCTCCGTCGAATGGAAGAGAGCCGCAGACGAGGACATAAAGCACGACACCGAGACTCTGCGAAGCAAAGAGCAAAAAGGAGAATGTAATCACGATTATGTAAATGTCATCGCTTCCTCTGTCAGTAATGCCGTATTACATTCCCGGAGCTTACCCAAATATCCAGCTGAGGCCCCTCATACTCCTTCCCTTCAAACACTTCAGGGGCAGCATAAGGCGGGCTGCCACACCATGTAGACAGAGGCTCCCCTGCATTGTAGAAGTTTCCAAATCCAAAGTCTGCACACAGACACAAGTGTAGAACAACTTTTTTTAATCAAACTTGTTTGCTTTCCATTCCAGCTTGAAGCGCTGCAGGCCCTATAGCGCAGATTTAGTACTGTTCATGGTGTGTTACGTAATTTATCATCATGAGATATTCATCAACACTTCAAAGTAAGCTCGGGTTAACATATCTTCTCATACAAAAGACTGACTGTTTTCCTGTTTCTGATAATTTGGCTCTACAGTTTCTTCATGTAAAAGCGTGTGATTGTGTGCTGAGCTCATTTCCTCTGGTTGATGCTTGTCTTAGTAAAATGGGTGAATAATTAACATTTAATTAGCACATAGATGGCACAACAATGATTTAATTAGAATCCCAGAGCACCAAATACGTTCTTCAGGCGTAAACTGAACAGAATACAGAAACAGCAAGTAGGTACAGAAGGACGTTGTTGCATTAAAAACCATTAATACTGCATCTTATCACCAGCCAACACTAAGAATATGATCAACCTACCGGCCAGTTTGATATTCATGTTGGCATCCAGCAACAGGTTCTCAGTTTTTAGGTCACGGTGAACGATGTGGTGCCGATGGCAGTAGTCCACCGCGGCAAGGATCTGCCAGAACTTCTTTCGTGCTTCATCTTCACTCAAGCGGCCATTTGAGGTTAGGTGGTCTGCAGGGAGAGAGGATCCAGACTATCAGGATCAGACTCTTAGGAGGGTCTATTATGAGGTTACTTCCTTTTTCCATGCTTTTATTTTGCCAGTGGCCTTTTAATTGTCATGGAGGGTTAAAATTAACCTCTGTGTTTCTGGGTGTGCTATGTACCTTTGTGAATGCAAATGAAAAGGCTTAAGGCTTCACTCACCAAACATCTCTCCATTCTTTGCATACTCTGTCACAATATACAGCATGTCTTTGGTCTCCATGACCTAAGAGAGAAAAAGAGAAAAAAACAATGAGTGTAACTGTGTCATGGATAACCATATTTCAAAGTTCAAGTTGTTCCCAGTGTTTCATTGTAGCACATTCCAGCATTTATAACCACCACATTCCTCATTTGCAAATGTCTCCATACACATAAAATTAAAAAAACACCAACACCCTGTTTTCCATTATATGCCCTGTTGCATAAGTAAACCGTCAGTGACTTCCCGTGCACATTTTCCTCATGTCTTAAAACCCGTTTACACACGTCAATACAGACCCAAAAAGGAATGCGTAACATTCAGACTCAAACCAGCTGATCCAATGCTTGGGAATGTTTTTCTTGAGGCTGATACCAGCTGGCAGTGGATGCTAGTGTTGAATTTCAAGCTTCCCCCTATCTCTTTATATCTATGAAAACAGAGCGGGGCACATTCACATGGGCTGTTCACATGGTGTATCAGAAACACTCAAAGTGCAATCACTCAGAGCTCAATGCACTTTGTGGGACGGAAAGACGTAATTCCCGGTTCTTTCCTGGAGCTCACACAAGGCCTCCGTTTCCCATGAGAGCCCTCAGGGACAGAGCAGTTGAGCTAAAAAGGTTGCACAACAAAGCAATTATCGTCAGATGACAAAGTCCTGTCTGGATAAAGCTGCTGGCCAACTCCTAAATTGAATGTCACCAAATTCCAGTGAATGGCGGAGCTTAATTCTTTTCAGCCACCGGGTCCTTTAGAAAACCAGACAACGGTGATTCAATACACCAAGGTCCCCAAGCGGGCACAAGTCTTTATCTGCGAGATAGGGCAGCTCCCTGTCACCTTGAGGTGCAGCTGACGTCACTGTTGCGAAGAACAGCCATGGCGCGTCAAGGGCCCCTAGTCACCCCCGAATAAAGATAAACCCTTTAACATCCATATTGGACTCCTCGTTTTCCATAAGGTCAATTTAAGGTTGCTAAAAGCTGCATAATGGGAGCATAAAATTAAAAAAAGAAAAAAAAATCCATGAGATTCCAGTGGAATTTAAAGCGATAAGACGGGCGGTTTATGCAAACAAACAATGAGCGGGAGAGAGACTTCAATGACCTTTCAGTTTAGAGGAATTGTTTTGGTTCCCGTGAGACAAAAACAAAGTGGAAGCAGCAGCTGATTTATCGTGAGGTCTCCCAAAAAACTGCAGGGATACTAGAGGATGTAATCTACAGATCACAAGATGGTCTTATGTCAGTACCCTCCCTTTGTGCAGGAAGGAGAAAGAGGAGGTGACGAGGGTTGCTAACAACCATCTGACTAACATCACCTTGAACAACCCAAGGCCAGGAAGAAATTAACAAGGGACAGAGGACAGACAGCACAGCAGTGATACAACACCACAAACCTACAGATTATCATCTCGCTCTATCACAAAACAAAGACTGTCAGATCAAAAATGGTCTTTTAAATAAAATTGGTTTTTTTTATTATCATTCTATCTTTTAAATTAATGAATTCCATCTCATGTTTTTTCCACATAATCTAACTGAAGTGTTAGGCTTCGTTCATGGTTAATCTGTCTTTACACTCACTTGACGCATCTGAATAATGTATAAAGCATGAATGCCTTTAAACTATTTTGCATATTGGTGTGTGTCAGAAGAGACGATCATGTACTGGGGATTTCAATTTCTATTTTATTTGTGCTTACACATCTTAAGTGATGCATTTTTCTGTCTGCATTATGGTTAATTTGTTGAGTGGTTGGATGTTTCTTTTTCTTTTTAACATATGAAAAATTTTGATATCCTCTTTGAATTGTTTGTACCATCAGTGTGAAGCATTAAAAATGTCTGTGTGGTCTTGTGAGATGAATAGAAGGAGGTTTCTAAATTAAAAAATAAAAAAAATAGTGGACATCTATGATGTTCGATTTCTTTATTACGTTTTTTCTCTTATAGAAATTCCTAGGAATAATATTATCCCCTTGTTTCTGCAGTCTAGACATGATTTCATGGTAAGAGCTGCTCAGCCATTTAAAACCAGATACAAACGAATCCTGAAAAGTAGCAAACAACAGAGAACAAAGCAAAAGGCAGAAAAAAATCCAGAATGAAAAAAAAAGAGAAAGGGCATTGTGTGTCTGTTTGCATGGGTGTGTGTTTGTTGCCAGACGCGTGCCGCGGTGCTTGCGAGGTCAGCTGAGGGGGGAAAAGCGGATTCTTTCGACTAAGTCTTCAATTTGATTAGCAGTAAAGCAGCGCTTTGCTGTGGGGTAGCCTTCACGTGACATGCACACACATTGCAGTGGTTTAAACAGGTGCTAATTAGGCTTAAAGTCCAGACCTGTGGATGTTTTGGTAATTAGTCGCCTGCCTGCTCTGTTTCCCATATCTCTGCCATCACCTCTTCCTTCAAACAACTGAAGAAATCTTAGAAATGCAATGCTCTTAGCAGCGGCTGGTACCGATGACTGTTCTCTCTCTAACAAGCACACATACGCATACAGGGAGGTCAAAGGGGATTGCACTAATGCTGTTCTGCAGTACTTATGACTCAGTATACTCTGAGAATCGGCAAGCTGGTTAAAACCAGGCAACAAATGGTCCTTAAAGGCAGTGCTCTGCAGCGCACCAGTGCTGTTTAAGGGAAAATATTTTTTTCCTCAATTTGCAAAGGCTTCCTTCCACACCAGAGCATTTTACTCAAATGCTCATGCATGCATTTAGACCAGCTCCCTGCAGACCAGCATACAGTCCGGCTACCGTGAGGGCGTAACACAGGTTGAATTACACACGCAGCATTCTGCACTGCACACAACGACATTTCGGAGAGCAGAGAGAGGTTAGCCACAATACACACCTGGTAGAGCTTGATGATATGAGGGTGGTTCAACAGCTTCATTATCTGCACTTCTCTGTAGATCTTTTCGAGGTTGGAAGGATTCAACCTGGTTTTATCGATAATCTTGATTGCCACCTTAAAAATGGGGGGGGAATCGTGGTTAAAAATTGCAAATTTCAAAAGAAAGGCCAGAAAAAAAGCTGCAAGTAGAAATTAATAATATTAACAATGATATTAAAGCAGCTGACCTGTGTTTTAGTGACTTTGTGCCTGGCCAGTTTCACCACTGCAAAGTTCCCTTTCCCCAGGGTCCGGATGATTTCATAGAAGCCGACCTGCAGCGGCCTCCCCTGGGCAGGGCTCGACTGAGCTCCCCGGTTGGTTTCTGTCATGATTACCATGGCGTACCAACAGACTGGGGTTACAGCACTGTGATAAACGAACCTGCAGAGACAGCGGTGCACATTACTCATTTTATTGCATTTGTGTAAAAATTCACTTGCTAGAAGCTTTTGTTCCGCGTGTAACGAGCATTTGGTCCTGACTGTTTGAAAACACAGACGAATTAAAATTATTATATGATCACTTTATCGAAACATTGTTGGTGTAATAAACGAGTTAAGCTGGAAATACGACTACAATCTCGTTACAGGTGTACAAATACGTGTAATATATATAAACAAGCCCGCTGATATTCATTCATTGGGTACAAAGAGATCTACACAAATAGGTTTCACTAACCTATAAGAAAAAGCGACACTTTCACGACCATTAAGAAAAAGAGGCTGAATAATACGTAAAAAAAAATAGTATATATATACATGTAGAAAACTAAAAAAGAGAGAGAGAGAGAGAGGCAGAGAGAAAGAGACTTTGGCTGAGTTGTAAAATTACCAGTTTTTCTATTAAGTGACAATGAGCCAGTAAAATGTGAGTTATCGAGAGTAATTCTTACCTTACAACGATAATAACCACCTTCTCTCACACTTCAGGCAGCTCTCGGAGGAAACGTCAACCATTCCACAAACAGAGCTCCGGATAAACAACGAGACAAAAAGGAAAAACTGCGGGCAACACGCGCGGGGTAACTTTTTCCTTTGACTTTCTACAACAAGTCTTGAGGCCGGGACCAGGCTGCGGCCGGTGTGTGTGCCTGTAAGCTCCGCCGGAATGCAGAGCTGAGGGCTTCGGCACTCACAGGGGGAACTCCTCCTCCTCCTCCTCCCTCCTCTCCTCGCCACCATAACAAATTGATACCCACCTTATTAACGTCACACCCGCGTCAGAGCTTCGAGCTGGGTGCAAGGCAAGGCCGGACCCGAGCGCAAGGAAAGGGTTGCTGGGCAACCGCGCGGCTCGGGCGCACGGTGACGCGAGTGCTGATGGAGGGGTTGCTTGGAGATGGGGACGGTGACGTCAGTCGTAAAGATGTGTCACCACGTGATGTTTCCCTCTGCCGGGCTCGTAGCTCGCGGGCTCTCTCCACAGAGCGGCTGCGCGCGCGGCTCCGACAGGAACAGAAACAGAAAGCAACTGGTGTTCGTCAGCCGCGCGGTCTCTGCTGCTCACGGAGCACTTTAGACTCTGCTGGGCTCGGAAAATACAAACACAGAGCCAATAAGTGCGCCATTACAGTAATTATTGTAAATTCAAATAATGCAGTCAGACTTTGAATGCGTTATTTTAATTTACAGTAATTACTGCAAGCCGATTAGGCTGAATTTATACACACACACACACACACACGTGTGTGTGTGTGTGTGTGTGTGTGTGTGTGTGTGTGTGTGTGTGTGTGTGTGTGTGCAAACCATAACATAGTAAAGTACATTTAATAAGCAAAGTCAGTTATAATAAAAACCTTTGCTCAACACTTTGACCATTTGACTTAGCAGGTTAAGGAAATTTAATCGAATTTAAATACAATTTAGAAATAGTTTGAGGTGATGGATCATTACATGTGGCATGATCCACATAAAATGCTGGTAAACCATTAGTAAAAATGGTAATGGGTTCTGAAAGTTTGAAATTATTCATTTGCTATGAATCAAATTATGTGAGCTACAAGTAAAGCTTTTTTTGTTTGCTTTTTCTTTCTTTATGAACTTGTGGGTGGCCGATAGGAACGCCACGCTGGATCTTGGTGTAAGCTAAGCCCCCCCCCCCAATTTATTCTGCTTCTGGATTGTTTGTGAAACATCGCCTTTCCCTGGAAATGATGGACACAGACCAGTGGATGTGTGCTGCCGAGTTTCAGCAATCAGAGCAGCTGTGTGTGTCTTCCTTTCCTTTTCCCTTTGAGTTGCAGCTTAAAGCTTACTGAGGGATTTTCCTGCAGACGTGCACTTTTGCCAGTCAACATGGGGGGAAAAGAAAACAGCTGAGGTCATTAGTATAAATCCAGGTTACATCCAATGCAAGTTGTTGTGGTTGAGTGTGTTTCTGCTGTTGCTATGCAAAGTACTCCTGATTACCAAGCAGTCAAACCGAGAACATATACAAGATGATGGCCAAAGACAAAGTTAGAAAAAGAGTGGCAGAACTTAAACAGAAGGAGAAACCTGCAGAGTCTATGTTATATTAATGGACATGTAACGCCGCATAGTATGCTCAGAATAAAAGCCGGTGTAAAATACCAAATATCGCATTCAGTAGAGATGTAGACTCTTCGCTCACGCAATCTGAAATGTTAAAGGAATGCAAATCACATGCAAAATGTCCCAACTGAAAGGTCACACAATATTTTGATGCACACTTGCAACAAAACCACACAGCCCACTCTGCTTCTCATCACGCCAGTTTCATAACCAAATGTCTACCTGATGTTATTTGAATGTGCGCCTCACTTGCATGTTGCAGTTGTTGTATTTCCTGAGTGTGTGCAAAGCAGGCAGGCACAGTTATATAAACTGTGTCGTGCTGGTGCCAGAGCTCCCTTGTCTGAGCGCATCCTGATGTTTCACATGAAATTTTTGGATTTAATACGCGTACAACGGTGGCCACATGACAGTATATTAAATTCACCTTTTTATTTGTCGAGATTCTGGGCTCACACAAGTCACAACGTCAGGAAAGGTTTGACCTTATAAGAGTGATGAGATTGGCATTTGAATCAAAAGGTCTAATTTAGATCAATTCAGATCAAGTTAACTTTAGTTTGCTGTTCAGACTGGCTAAAAAAAAAGGGTGTTAAAACAGAAAGAAAGCTGCACCTGACACAACTGTCATTGTAAAACCTTACAACTTTTTCCTAATTTCCCACTTATTTGTAGAGTCAAGGTGCAATGGGTTCATCCATATGCATATAACTTTAGTGACTTTAAAGGAGAATAATTGTGCATGCATTCATAGAAGAAACAGCATTGCAGAAGTAAGGTAAATGTGCATATATATTTACATGCTAATGATGGAAATCATTGCGTGAGTGTTCCTCCTATATGCTGCTATAAGCATAAGTGAGGCCCTTTATTTGCTGCCACTTCCACTGGCACGTTCTCAAAGAGAAACAACTTCCCTTTCTGGAAATGACGTGAGTGGGATCCCTTTTGCACGCGTGAGGCTCGTTTTTTGTCTTTCACACACACAAATACACACACACAAATACACACACACAAACACACACACAGACACTGCAAAGTTTCTCATGATCTGAGTTGTCACAGTCCACATGCTGTTTTTTCATCAGTGTGGCTTTGTGCTTGCGTGTGAGTGTTTATCGTGTCAACATTGATGCTGTTAAGGTTGAGGTATTTCCTGTGTGTGCACAACAGAATTTGTTTTAATTCCTGCTATCAGTCGTTTGCAAAATATCAGCAAAGGACGCATATATGTTTGACTGACTAATGATTTTCTTTTATCTTACTGATATCGGTTCTTTATCTCAGTGATATCTGTTATCGTTACATACTGAAACAGGTGACTAATCAGGCACATTACACTGCATGGTGTGCTGCCGCAAAGATGAGGAGCCACGAATTTAGTTGGGTGGTTTCTCATGTGCTCCTGTTGCCCTTTAATCAAAGGTGGGCGCGCAAAGGTCAAGGTGAAGGGATATTTCACTTGCTTTTAGCACTTATTTCAATATTGCGGACTGACGGTAAACAGGGGGTGTATGACAGGAAGTCATGAGTCACAGCTTCAAACCCGTGGATTTTCTCTTCTGCAGCATGCTGAGTTATTTAGGTTGCACCCTCTCACTAAGTGCTCTCTAGATCACCGGAAAAATGTGAATAACAGCAGGAACGCGAACTTCAAAGAAGGTAAAAGATGTGATTCCCTCAAAGTGAAGATCAAACATTTGCTTCTGTTAATCGGTTGTCGTGCCATCACATCTAACTAAATTTAATAACGTTGAAGTGTCCCCGGATGCTGTCTTCAAATAAAACATATCGAGGTCCAGCGTGGTCTTAAAAGTCAGGATCACAAGACAGCAGAAAATCCTCTGATAGCAAGGTGTGTGTCTACATCATAAGATTAAGCCCAATGCTGGGGGAGAAAACAAACCACACATATTTCAGGATGATTAAATATGAACACAGGCCACAGGTACTACTTTTTTCAAACCTTCAACATCCAGTGAACATCTCGCTGTGAAATCACTTTTCTAAAAGTTTTACTATGGGGTATACTGTCCCCTTAAAGACCTCTCACCACACACCACAGAGACTTCAGTGTGACACATCACAGCTAACTGTAACACGGTGCTCACAGAAATGTGTTTTGAACCTCACATTGCCCATCTAAAGAGTTATCCCGGCCCTTTCCGAATTTTACATGATTTCCCAGGTTTGCTTTCTAGGCTGGCAGTCTGGGTCCAAAACAGCGTAAGTGTAAAAACAGAAGAAAATACTCACAATTCTACAGGGAAGCAATCAATTGATAGCAAAAGCTAATTTAGAACAAGGTTGTTTTAGACTGCAATTTGCATTTGAATGAGAAGCACCTTTACTTTGTGCTGTTTTTCTTCCAAACTTTTAAGCTGTTGTTTTATTCTCCTCCACTTCATGTAAACTATTTAAAGATAATGCATATAGTAGGTTGTATTTTATTGAAGACTAAAGGTCTAAAGCTATGCTAACAGCTTATTGAGATAGCATTTACTCACAGGGGTCCATGCTATTTAAACTATGCTGATATTTTGGGAGCTATCACGCTACCTATGGATTGTATATAAAAGACAATGTACCAAAGTGCCTTAAAATTGTATTCTTTCCAATGGCCGGTGGGGGTGACTTCTCTGACTGCAAATGCTGGAAAGCATAGCAGCCTGTTGGGAAAATCACCCTTCAGCCTTTGATGACGTCAGAGAAATCATGTCTTAATAATACAGTGTGATGCTTATTTTGTAAGTTATGGTCACTATTAGAGTTGATGCAGGGTGTTGTCTTTGGTCGGGTCTCTCTACAACCCCTGTTCTGAAATTTTTTTTAATGCTGTGTAAAAATAAGAATGCACAACATTGTTATATTCACAATACAGCATACAAAACATATGAAATGTTTTAATTGAGACAGTTTACTATTTCATGAAAAACGTTAACTCACTTTGATTTAAAGGCAGCTTCATCTCCCAAACACAGTTCAGAAGGCTGGAAAAGTAAGTACTCCAATTTTAACATTTAGATGAACTAGAAACGGGTCAGTAATCTGTCAAAAGAGTATCTTTGAGAGGCAGAGCTACTCAAAATTATTGGTTCACCCATCGGCAAAAACAATATTAGCAAACTGTGGAATAAGAACAAAATCTTCAATACAAAATTTATATTACTTTAAATATCTCATTATCTGTAGTACATAATATTATGAAAGATTCATAGCCTGGATAAATGTCTACGTGTATAAGAGGCACGGCTGAACATCAGGTAGTACTGCATTAAGAACAGCCATGACTCTGTTGTGGTAATTACTGCATGGACTCAAGAACACTTCCAGAAATTACTGCCTGTGAAATCAGCTCACTGTGGCATCCACAAATACAGATTAAAGTGCAATCCTGCAAAAAAGAAAGAAAAAAAGCCATATGTGAAGATGATCCAGAAATGCTGCCATCTTCCCCGAGCCTATGCTCGATTGAAGTGGACTGAGGCAAAGTGACAAACTGTTCTGTGATCAGACAAATTTAAATTTGAAATTCTTTTTTCAAAGCCACACCGGACTAAAGAGACCACCTGACTTATTAGCAGCTCTCAGTTCAAAAGCCTCTCTCATCTCTAATGGTATAAGGAATGCATTAGTGCCTATGCTGGGCAGCATGTTC